GGCGTCGTGCTTGATCCAAATCCATCGGTTGTCCCCTTCCGCCGAATGTGACACCTGTCCCGTCGCGACGTGTCTGGACCGGGGCATTTGCAGTAGGCGCGGCTACGCTAGCCTGTGCTCGTGGTGCACCTTGTGTCTGCTGCTGCCGAGGTTGGAATTGTCCTTGCCGCTGGGACTGTGGGTTTCGCCGACGATATTGCTGCTGATTTAGGTCAATGCGCGCGACCCGTTGTTTGTAGAGCGCGTATGTGGCAGGGAGTTCTTCCGATGAATTGTACAGAAGCCGAATGATATCGGCCCTGAGTGCCTTTTCTAGAAGCGATTTTAACTCCTGGAAATGTGCCTCAAAGTCATGAATGTTCGCCTGGAAGGCGCATAATTCAAACTTTGAGAAGAACTCCTGCGCTGACAGCGCTCCCATCTGCATCGCCTGTAACCGGTCATAGGCTTTGGCTTGTTCATCGATTAGGAAGTGCCTGTCTAGGTCTTCCCATAGTGTCTTGGTAGTCTGTATCACGGAGTTTTCGTCTGCGTCGTATTTCTTCATGAACGTGGCGACATATTCGCCCGCGTGTCCACCTTTCATGTACGACAGAATCATAAGGACTCTGTCGAATTGCTCTGGTAGTCGCTTCCTCTGCGTAACTACATAGAGTTTCATTTGGGTCTTCCAAGCAATGTACTTGGATTTCGTGCCGTCAAAGGCGTCTGGCTTCATCGCGCTTCCATTAAGGAGCGCGGCGCTATCTTGGTTCTCGGCCATCGCGCCGGAATCGGATGGGGATGAAGGTGGAGTGGGAGAGCGTCGGGAAGGTGGTTCCGAGGCTTCTGAATCTTCTACCGCTTCTTCTACGGGGTTTGGCGGGCCCTCTGGTGGAGCTTCGGATTCTCCAAGGGCAATTGAGCGGAGGTGGTCAGTGACCGATTCAAGAGTATCCCGTCTGGTTCTGGGTTCTGAACCGGATGCTACGGGTTGTGGGACTGCGAGGGACTCGGAAGGTGCTCCTGTGGGGACTCTTTGTAATAATTCTCCATGTAATCCTTCTCTACACCGGGGACAACGAGTACTATTATCTGAAGAGTGTGGACACGGTTGTTGCACGCAGTATCGTACGTTATCGCCGTGTAGGTAGATGGACGTTCCCTCTAGTTCTCGGTGTACGTGTCCTCTGCAATCACAGGAAGGTGTGGTCATAGGTTGTCGGGTCCGTGAAGCTTATCTTGCAGCAACTCTGGGACCAATCGTGTTGGAACGACCGGATCAGAGGTAGAATTTGCCAAGATAGGGAATTGGTCGGTGTATATACGGAACTTCGAATTTTACAGTTCTACGATATAGTTCAAAGCCCCAAGAGAGCAATTATGTCTCTCTCGGTCCGACGCCTGGGGTAGGGATCGCCGATACGAAGCTTTGTCTCTTTTCCGACGCCCAGCCTCAGCCGGTTGCCACGTCGTACTCAGGATAACCGTGTGCACTGCGCAACACGTTTAGCGCCAGCTATGGTAGGCCAGGGCACGAATCCAATACAAACACGACCTGGTCGAGCTCCAACGGAGCAAGGGATTACCAGGGATCGGATAGGGAAGTGGTTATGTGCAAGTGCACGAAAAAGGGTTCCCGGGGTCTTGATGCGGTAGAGTCGATAGGGTTAGGATTGGGGTGAGATTCCGGTTGGGTAAATGAGATGGATCGTCGTGTGGAGCTAGGTGATGGTTGGTGTGAGAGTGACGAGGATCGTCGTAGGGCAGTTGGTGGAGACTCGAGCTAATGTCAGCAACCTACAATCCAACTGGACTGGGCTACAACGAAGCTGAGGAGACAGACGAGAGGAAAATAGGTGAGGAAAGACCAGCTCGAGTCTGGCTTGTTATTGAGCAGTACAGGCTCCTTATATACATGTCAGACTGAATACCTAGAATATCCTACGAATATACGGAGGTGTATAGAAAGTGAAAGAATACCATGGAATCCGAGAGAACCATCCGGATTGTGTAATATTCATGACACTTGCTGGCTTGAAGCCGAGCCAGTCAAATCACTATGTTAGATACATGTTGGTGGTGTTGGACAATTCCAACAGTGTTGGGTAAGGATACGACATAGGTTACGCAACATCACCATGTTGGTTGTTAGGCGTCTTGGACGTCTTGGCCAACATGCCCAACATGGGGTGCGGTTTTACTGATGCCGATCCACTTTACCTTGGTGCTAACTTGAACGGGCCATACATCCTTGTCGCAGCGAAAAAGGTAACACCGTAATAAGTCTGACTGACTGACGTCTTCGCTTTTTTTCAGTGCTTGAGACAGCTCCT